CCAAAGTGACCTGGAAACTTTGCTTGCCCCAAATCAAATAAATACCCAACAAAAACTGCATATTTTCCCTGTTACGCGTCTATAATGCCATATGTGGAATATTATCTTTATACAGGTTGAAAAATCCCAGTCACTAGCCGGCAAAACTATCCAAACAATTTCGAAGAAGTTTTTCTATATCAATTTGCCATTCAAAGATGATGTACAAGAGGTAGTCAAACGAAGACTTGACATCATGAGAATTGTCACGCTGCAAAATTTGTTTTTCTTAACACCACCTAGCAAGTGGTTCAACAATCTGGGAAAAGCTGGTGTTCGCCGATACTCGACACTTCAGACTACCTCTGCCAGTTTGAATGTGTTTATGGAAGTACATACATAGGTCATATAGAAAGGCGACTGTCTACCCACATGAAGGAGCATTCGATGTGCCAAAAAGCTCAATAACAAAGCACCTTGTGGACTACAGGCAGGATTTCGACGCTGTCGAGCCATTCACTATTGTCAGCAGACAAGGAAACAGGAAGATGCTTGCAATTGCACAGTCTTGTGCAGTTCAGGTTTATCAACCAGGTTTCTGTGTACAAAAGGAAGTGGTCGTCACTCTGAATCTGCCGTGGTAATACATTTTACCCATTAACTGTGATTATTAATATTAACATTATTTTCTACTCCTGATTCATTTAAAGCTATCTTGTATCAGTAGCATTACCATAATTCAGCATTACTATTATTATCGCTCGTTTCGTAATTTTTAATAACACTTAAGTTCTTTCATGGCTTAAATCTTTATCTTGAAAAAGATAACAATGTTACATTTAATCACAGCTATTGTTGAGATGCGACCATGTGGGATCTGAAAGTTTCATTACTTATTATACTCCTACTCTCTGAAGGGTACGGTTGTGCACTAAATGCACAAAAAGGTATAAAATAAAAACAACTGGCATGAGTGTTCAAAAAGTGATATCATGATAGTTTGTGATATATCTGTAGCATTATACATTGCAAATGAATGTTGTTACCCTAGGGTGTTTCCTTTATTAATGCATTTATTAATGATACTGCCTACCTATTCATACAATTAATGTCATAATCTATTATCATGCTACAACACATTCCTGGGACAACTGTACAATTCAATAACTATACGGCCTAATTCAGAAAATGAGTGTATTATATGTATCGAATATTTAACAGTTGAAATACGATTAACTTGTAGACATCTACGATTTGATATTATATCATACTTGATCGTGCCTGTAAATGCATGCATTTCATGTAAATTTGTAAATTTATATGAATACATTATTATTATAATGACTAATTGTTTATCTAAGTGATGCAATTGAAGCGTGATGCCTTCTATATTAATCTTAATCTCTTATACTCGCTTCCCTTTATCTAATTGGATATGAACTGGAAAGCATTCACAGGTGTCATTTTACATGATTAATTGAATGTAGTTTATTTGCTTATCAGTCCTATATCTCTCAATGTATTTCCAATAGTGTATTTATATCCCTGTGTGGGTGACTCTAAACTATAGCAGCCCAAAACTAAACTACCTCTAGTGACCAATCAGATGCCTCAGGAGTGAAAGTAAGTGTTTTGAAAAAAACATCCAAATACTAGTAATGTAATGTTAAAATGATTACATGGGATGATATTCTTGTATGTTCCGAAAAAACCTACCAATTTCTCACAGGGGTCCTCATAATCAGATTAAACCAATTTATGTAAATAAATTCTTCAAGGTTATCAATCCGTTCATTAAGTAGTTTCGTTTTGGGCTGCTAAATTTTAGATTCACCCCTGTATGTAGGGCTTTCAGCGGAGAGTTCTACTCAAGTTCGATTAATTCATTAAATCCTGCATAATCAACTTTTGCTGCGTCTTAAACCAACTAACGTTCAACAAGACAGTTTTACTGTTTCATGAATAATATACCATACTTACTACCTGTAGCGCAACCCTCAATTATTGCGCGCATTTCTGTTACAATCAAACAATGCTCATGCCTAGAACTATTCAGTATACATGGCTTCTACCAATGCAAAGTAACGTTATCGGTATTTTTGTCTTCATTTTCACCAACTGTCCCTTCACGCACAATAGCATGCAGTAACTACATATATTCAAGCATTGTAACCTGAACATCACAAAATCCCTACAGATGACTTGTTCAATGATAAATTCTTTAAAGATATGAGCCATAAGTGCACCTTCCATACCCTTCACAGCCACAAGTAATTCATTAAGGATCTCAGAATAACTTAGTGATCTGAAAATGAATAATTAATAAGACTGATATAACTTAAGTAACAGGTGTAGTAGTTGTAGGACACAGCTGCTAGCTACTATTCGACAGAAAGTGGATACTAATTTTAAGCAGTCTGACATTTCTGAAGGGCCATCTATACTATTCTTCTTGCCCCAATGCACACTGATATCAACGTAATCTGATGCCATGTTATGCACTGAACAATTACGGACTCCCGAAATTCATTGTATTAATGTAAATTAAACTAGTGTCACATCTTCGCCTGAGCAATTTTAACTAGGAACTTCGCTGAAATGGATGTAATCACCAGGAAATTCAGCAGTTTGTCTCTTCGATGCGTTATGGAATATTTCAATTATCACAGATGATTAAAAAAGTGTTTAACAGCCTTAAAACGTACACCTAACTTATGTCCGTGGGCAATTTCTCTTTCAAATGCCTGATTATCACAGAATAACTTCTGTGACAACAACCATTGCCTATATTTAATTTATAACATTAACATCTTCAAAAAACTAGCAAATAACAAACCTTTAAGGCTCTAAACTGCAAATAATAGTCGTTCTATGCGAAATTTCTTGTTTACGATTACTTGTATTAAGTAATGAATCGTCTGGGATATCAAGACAATTTTACCCATTAATACGAATACAAACAGGAAGATACTGCTTTTTTCGGCTATAAAAGCCTAAAACCAGTCAAATATAATCTATTTTCATAAAATAAAGGCTTCTAACGCATCTATAGGCGTGAAAGCGATAACCCATAGAGTGCACGATAATATATCACGACAGCGTTTATCCTCACCGTGCATATATTATTTGAAATATTGAAGATGCCTGTAAATTAGCGTCTCTCATATGCAAACAAATAAGAACATTTTACTTTTATTAGCGGGCACTCGAAAGATTCACTATATAAAGGAAGAAACCTACTGGTATACGAATGGCAAAGTGAGCGAACACCATTCGTTGAATGTAGTTCAGCATCCCTCAGTATCAACAAGTATCTGAGAATAAAAGCGCATCCCCTGCTCTGACAGCATCTCCCCGAGCTTCTGGGGCTGACCCAAAAAATACGCATAGAATAAGGACAATGTTTGTTAAGCCAAGAAGACTAAACTCGGAAAACCTATCATTAGCAAAAGCTGAATTCGATAACATGCTTCAGTTGGAGATTATTGGGCCCTCAAATTGTTATCGGGCTTCACCATCACACACAGAGCCTAGGAAAATTCGGATTAATTGTTGCCCGCGTGGTGATCACAGAGCCCCAAATAGGCGGACCATCCTGAACATATAACCGATACCCCACATTCATAACCTTACTAATAATTTTCGAGGCGCCGCAATATTAACTAAAATGGACTTGCTTGGAGTGGGGTTCGAACCCACGCGGGGATACACCCCAGGGGATCACCGCCTTAACCACTCGGCCATCCCAGCCGAAGAGTCAAACGTCATAAGACATAAAATGGACTTGGTTCGCGTTTACCACCACATTCCGGTGTCTAAAGAAGATATGCCTAAAGCAGCCATTACTACCATATTTGGCTTACGTGAGTTTTTGGGGAAGTCACTTGGTCTCCGGAATGCTGCAAAAACGCTGGTTAGATCGAGGATTAGTGCCTATTTGATGTGTTCCAAAAGATGGTCGACTAATATGAGTTCAGTGACAGCGGCAACAGGGAAAAAGAACGGCGTAGGAACAAGCATGCTTCTTCACTCTTACAGAGTTGGAAATTATATTGGAAGTAGAAGTATATATAGCCGAAAAACAAAACTTGTAGTCTCAACGTATGATAAGCGAAGTTTTACGACAGAAAGGGATATTATCCTTGTATTATCCAAAGATTACGTATCGTACTGCCTGGCCGTAGGTGCGAAATGTAGAAATTATCGTTGGTAAATTTCTCTCATATAAAATCTGTACAAGCAGAAAATTCTCAGACAAAAAAATGAAAAGCAGCGGTTCACTAATCTACGTTCCTTGAAGGACCAACAACAGTGCCATACCACAGGACACGACATAATGCTTTCTCCTGCATTTCGCCACGAAATGAGTAGTGATATAACCTTTCAAGGAGGACGAAATTAGTTAGCGAAGGTGTATATAAGATAGTTACTGAGAATAGCGCCAAAGGCATGCACGCAAACGTGCCAACATTAATAGTTCAAGCAAATAATCCGCACAAATATTTTATCCAAAACTACTGAGACAATTAGCCTACGCGACGAGGAGCTTCTGTATAATATGAGCACAGGATTTTATGAGAAGAGGATGACATTGCACATCGGCCTTTTGTATGTTTAATTAATCGGAATATTTAGCTTATTTCCACTCAGATAATTCCCGATTTTCCATAAGACATTTTCGATTTATTAAGTGAAAAAGGAAGCGGTTTTGGAGCCCCCTTTATGATGTAGACCTGAACGGTTATTTTCTGTAGTATATTGCCTCGAAAACTTGTGATGTCCCTCTCTAAAAAGAGTAACAACGTGTAAATTACCTTAAATAACTCAAATTACGTCATATTTATCTGTATTACTTTCATCTTGAACTAAAATTGAATGGGTGGTTTGCTTTTGAAAAGACAACAGTAATGTCAAGAACAAAAAGCTTGAATTAGAGCTCAGAGTAAAAGATTTTTGTTCTGCATTATCATGGCTCTTAGAATGGGTCCAAATAATTATGTGGTCATTAAAAAGCATCCAACATTGTTTGGTTGCGTGGGCTTGCTTGAAGGGTTCACATCGGTGAGAGCGCGCTTTAGGTTTTTGTCACGCAAAACAGTTTGTAATGAGGTACGTTCATTTTAGGGGTTTTTCGCACTAAATCTGCTGAGAATATCTACTAATTTGTGCGTAAGTCGAGTTCTCTAAATCCTCTGCCACGTCTCTGTAAAGGTGATTATCCAAATAGATTCCCGGCAATGTACCATGACACAAAGGTTTCTACAGGAAGTTCAGACTCTATATAGTAACTGGAGGTACAACTGCTGTCCTAGCATACTGACTTAAGTGCATAGTGAGTCTCGGAATTTCAGAGACCGCCAGCATTCTGGTATCAATAACTTTACTTAGTCTAACCCAGTTGAAACGACTAGCCGATTGTCTACGAAAACTGGACTTATGGCTGTTCACACTTGTGGGAGTCATATATGGACTTCACTCTTGTTCTGCGTAATTCAGATTATAACAGTGACGATGGATACTGTCTACATGACCCGGGAAAAGTGACTGGTTTATGTAACGTTAGTTTGACCTGCTAACACACGATTTAATATATTTGAGCATTCCCTGAGAACTTCAAGTTTGGTCATAGGTGTTCGGTTAAAAATGACACTAAACTCCAGACCTTGAAGCTCTCTATGCAGCGAGTATCTCAGCTACTATACGTTAAGGACGATAAACACGAGTTAATTCCCATTCATATTTGCGATTATTGCCTACATCTGAATTGATTGAGAGAAACTTTCTAAGTACCAGGTTCTGGGGCACTTTTGTGTGGAAACTGATGATTGATGTCACTTAGTCTCTAGTATTTGGTTCTTAACATTAACAGGATATCTGCTGTGGTAGAGTAAGGTATACTGGTAGAACTCTGTTGTTTGACAGCTATCAACAAGGTTTTTATTCCATGCCATACGTCCGTGGACCTACTACTGTGTGAAGGATATTGATATTCATACCCCTGTGCCTTTTCCGTATTGCTTCTGTCATTAACACACTTATGTTCCAATCCAGCCCATTGGTTACTTTTATTATATGCCTCAGTGGGGTTATAGACTTCTCCATAGTAGGTGTAAGGTCTGCCTTTGTTTGGAGACTATCGTATTTTGGATTGTCGTGCAGTAAGTTATTTTCCTTCATTAGCAGTCTAAATGGTCTTAAGTAGAATGAATGAACTTCTATTGAGACAGGTCTAGGGAATTTCCTCAAAAGCGTGCGATCACAGCATCTTGTTAACCCTCGCTGCTGTGTCGTACTTAGAAGTTTTACGTACCAGCAACCTTGTAAAATAATTGGAGTGTATAATGCCGAAAAGCTGCTGGTAGTCTAGTGTCACAGCTCACCATATTAGGCATTCGAACCCCAGTTAGTTGATCATAATTGCGCGTCTCGCCCTATCTATTAAAGTTTAGTCAAACCGATTGCCAATTGCTTTGACATGTATGTAGTTGTTGAGTGGCATGCAGCCTGGATCAGCTTGTTGATTTCAGCTTTTACTCATTTGTAAACTCCAAAGGTAGCTCAATGGTTGATGGTCAAATATTTTCCATGTTACGGTAAGTTATGGTCTTAAGTTCAGATTTGGTCGCATTTTCGTGCACCCGGTAGCATACCCACTACTTGTAGAAATGTGATCGTTTGGCTTAAGCTATTGACCTCAAACCAGTAGGTATTCAGTCTGGATTTAGTCAGGAAAACGGAGTGGTACTGTCAGCCACACGAGTGCGATTCATCCTAATACATAGGAAACCTTAACGCAATTGAGGTGTACATAAAATCAAGTTCGCCAGCTACATGTTTTCACTTCTCATTTTGGGATTTGATAAAGGTTTATAGAGTTACTTGAAGGGAGCTATGGGACTTGAGACTGTGGTTAAATGAAATCCTTCATCAGTGATTCATAGTTTCACTTATTTTGCGTATTTCCATAATTAAGGGTCACTGATTAAAAGACTCCAGAAACTTTGAGCAAGTCGATTTGGTAATAGTTTGTTCGTGGTCTATTAGCTTGTCGCCGTGGTGTATCAATGCCTAATTTCACTACTGCACATCTTGTTGATGCTCCTGTGGGCGAGTCAGCAGAGACGTATTTGGATAGCTATATTCTAACATTATTATCATGATACAGATTTTTTATGATAGACCTGTCACTCATCTTTAAGGCTTCGTCTAGTAATTGATGAACTTGGGTATTTTTTAGGCGGCGAAAGCTTATTATCTCACTTGGGCTTGCTCACTTTATAATGGTACCTTTTTCGACATTTTTCTAATCTGAGATAAACATCAATGGCAATAATAGCCACATGAATTCGATAAAATACCGATCCCATAGCAGCTTAGATTCCTTCGTCAAACAAAAGGTCATGATTTGTTCAAATATGGTAAAATCCAAAATTTGATAATGACAGTAAAATATTGTTATTCAACAATCATATGAATGCACTCGGTGATGAGTGATTCGATGAATGGATTGAACTTTAAGTCTGTAACCCATTAGTTAGAAGTTAAGTACTTAGTCATGTGAGCCAAATTCTTGATATGATTAAAGTTAATCGTTGTTACGAACAGCAAACATTCTTATCCTGTATTTTATCATTTGTTTCTAAAAAGAACAGCGAATATTCTAACTCCCTAACAGCTAGACTGTTCATGCATTCATGCCATTTCTTTTGTTTCTAAGCCTTACTGGACAAAATGAGATCATTATGGAGAAAGTATAAAAGCAACTTACGCAGTTACTAACCTTCAGTCTAAGCCATGTATATGGGTGATCACCTAACTGATATTTGTGAAATATCAAGAACCAGTAGTTATAGACAGTTAAGCGGCTCGGAATGTTTCACAGTAGCACTGATGTATCCATTATTGGTCATCTCGCTTCTAAAAGTTTTCATAATTCTGTCGCTCTCTCATACTGTTACCATATTTCTATTTTTTGTGTGTGCTGCGTTAAAGTTTGACATGTTGAACTTATACATTTTTTGTAAAGTCCTACATTCATTCGCCTATCAATATATTTCTTTGGACCATATTACGGATGTCTGAAAAAAGCATTTGCAATTCACAAATTCCACAAGGTACCACACGTATTTGGTGTGGTTAAGTACTATACACCTCGAACGTCAGTAGGTAGATTGGTGTCACCATATTAGTATTAAGTTTGCTTAGTAGGAATATGTATGTGCTTTGCCAGATCATATTCAACAAACATTCCAACTCACTCAACTGAATGCGAGCTTCCTGTCGGACACTTGTTCTAATGTTAAAACGCTAAGTTGTAACTATACCTTACATCTCCGGGATATTCGTTTGCAATAGCCGTGGACTTCTAGCATTACTTCTTAGTGATCTAAAATGTATGATGAGTGATTTCACTTGTGTAATAGGTGTACTAGTCGTAGGTGCTTCTAAAACACGTTCTAGGTGAAAAGTAAGTACTAATTGTTAGGAGTGTTGCAATTGGAAAGTACCCCATGTAGTTAGTTGTAGTATACCTCCTAGTCGTTGACATCATACAAGCTTGGTCTTTATTTACTATGTACTCATATTTTTGCCAATTTCCATTCTATTTGCAGCAATTCTGTAGATGATTCAGAGATCGAAACAAATTATCATGAAATTGTCGATGGATTCGATAAGATGGGATTGAAACCAGAACTCCTCCGTGGTATATACAATTATGGTTACGAAAAACCATCGGCTATACAGCAGCGGGCTATCAAACCCTGCATTGATGGTCGTGATGTCATTGCCCAGGCTCAATCTGGTACAGGAAAAACAGCCACTTTCGCTATCAGCATTTTGCAAAGAGTAGATGTCAGCTCGAATTCTTGTCAAGCTCTTGTTTTGGTTCCTACCCGAGAACTTGCCAGACAAATCCAAACGGTTGTGAAAAGTATTGGTGCTTATCTTAATGTAAAGTGTCATACATGTATTGGTGGCACAAGCACCACTGAAGATGTAGCTTGTCTTCAACAAGGTCAACATGTTGTTGTTGGTACACCGGGTCGTGTTTTCGATATGATGAGCCGTGGTATTCTAACAACAGCTGGCATCAAAATTTTTGTACTAGATGAAGCTGATCAAATGTTGGATCGTGGTTTTGAGGCCCAAATTAAAGAAATATATCGATTTCTACCCGAAAATGCCCAGGTAAAAAAGTCTTTTCAGTATTAATAAAAAAAAACAATAGATCATGTTGTTATCTGCTACTATGCCAAAACAAATACTATCAATTGCACGTAGTATCATGCAAGATCCTGTTCAGATATTAATCAAAAAAGAAGAATTAACTTTGGACGGTATTAAACAGTTTTACATCAACGTCGTCAAAGAAGAGTTCAAATTGGAGACTTTAATGGATTTATATCGTGTCATGAATTTAAGTCAAGTTGTCATTTTTGTCAACTCTGTACGAAAAGCTTCGGATTTATATGCCCAACTAGTGAATCGAAAATTCGAAGTTTCTTGCATCGTAACTTGTCTTATTAAAAAAATACTAAATTCTTTCTACCCCTATAGAATAGTGACATGGATCAGAAGGAACGTGATCGGGTTATGAGTGAATATCGTAATGGTGCATCACGTATTCTGCTGTCAACTGATGTTTTGGCACGTGGTATCGATGTACAGCAAGTCTCTTTGGTCGTTAACTATGATTTACCTAGTAATCGTGAAACTTACATTCACAGGTTTGTTATGCTTTATTATAATCTAATATTTATTTTATACAGAATCGGTAGAGGAGGTCGATTCGGTCGTAAAGGAACAGCCATCAATTTTGTTACTGCAACAGAAATGGAAGCACTCAGCGACTTACAACAATACTTCAATACAGAAATCCTTGAGATGCCTACTGACATTGTTGATTTCATGTAACTTTCACCCGCCTGCCCCCAAAACAAAAACTCTAAGCCCACCTATATATTTTATATTTGTTCCTAGCTAAACGAGTTGAAGTTTGTCTTGCTGGATATCTGGTCACTAATTCTTTGTGTTTTTTCCATCTAATTTATCCTGCTCTTATCCCATCACTCTCTATCTCTGTCTCTTTGAGCATCATTGCTCTTGATTCTTCAATTTGTTCATTAGGGTTCTTAATTGGGCAATAAAACAGAATTTACATACTGTGGATTTAAATGTCTGTTGTGTTTTGTTTTTTCCTTGTTATTTCATTTCATATTTGTAAATTATTCACAGTGGTGTTTTTATTGCATCATGTGTGTATGTGTGTGCTTGTGTGTTTATCTTCGAGCCAGTAAGCCGAGAAAGCACTTGAAACTATAGTTCGTGGTAAATGCATTTTGAGATGTGAATGGTCATGCCCCCCTCCCAAGTTTCTAGGGTTAGACTGAAGTATAGCGACCCAAGGGAACAACCAGCTAAATAGCCTTCAACAAGCGTTATTTCGCTAGAAGATTTTATAGAAAACGAATTACGTAATGCAAAACAGTCATGCAGGATAGCTATCTCCAGAAATATCTCTCAGTTTGTCATTTGGAGTCCTTAATGTTGGTCCAGACCAATTATGCGATGACTGTATATATCATGTCGCTTCGTGACACTTCACTCGAATCCTGTTTTTCAAGAGCCCCCAGAATTCTATGGAATGCGTATACATATGATCTAACGGAACAAGAAAATCAGGAGAACGATTTACAGTTGTGAATATAACCGGATTTTGATAACCATCTGTAATCATTTCGTTCATCCATGTGAATAGTTGTTCCGATGGTCACAAAACGGATAATTGGCATTAATACACTTGCATCATGGAGTCAGGCAAAGTTGTATCACTACATATGTATATTAGAACCAGACATTATTATTATATTATTGTTTCCTTTAGTTCCTAGAGGAACATAGGGCTTCAACTGCACGTCTCCATTGCGTTTGGTTCTCTGCCAACGTTTTCACCTGACTCCACGTCTGCCCACATGCTTTAATCTCCTCTTCATATAACCTCCTCCATGCCACCCTCACAATGACAGCCAACTCACGGCTTCCCGTTCGGGTTCCACTTGAGCGATGGCCTGTCTTGTGATGTCACTTGATGGTTTGTTTTCTCAGAGTATGGTCACTCCATTTCCTCCTGATTGGTTCGCTCCTAGAGATCTCTGTTGCTGATCTTTTCTGGCCATTTGATCTTGAATATTGAGCGAAGACAGCTGTTGATGAAGGTGTGTAGTTTGTTTGAGGTGCTCTTCATGACGCACCAAGTCTCTGATCCATAAAGTAGCACTGACTTCACATTGGAGTTGAAAATCCGGATCTTATTTTTCATGCTGAGTGCTGTTAATCTCCACACAGACTGCAGAGTAATGAGAGCTTGCCTTCCTTTCCCGATCCTTGCTTTGATATCCTCATCAGTTCCGCCTGTAGTTGAAACGATGCTTCCCAGTAGGTAGGTAAAGGAGGTTGTTTCTTTCAGGTTCCTCCCATTTATGCTGATTGTTGTCTGTTGTTTTTGTTCTTGTCCAGGAATCTTCATTACTTCTGTTTTCTCTATGTTCACCTGATGAAGGCCTATCTTTGATGTTTCTTCTGCCAGAACCAGACATAAGCAAATAATATTGTTTTCTTCAATTAGATTTTCAAGTTTTACCCTAATATATGTATAGTCGCAATGTCCATGTCTAATTTGTTCCAGATCATTTAGCTAACCGTCCTCTTGGATTTCTGTACTTTCGCCTTGCCGATTCCAGGGTGTAAGCCGCCTTTTAGACATGAGTAACGCATTATTTCATGGTAATCTTAAGCATCTGATTAACATTTATGGCTAACTTAATCAGGTTCAAATTAAAGCCTAACATTTGGTTGTCTTGAGATCATTGTTATTTTGTGTGTATGACAGACGAAAAGATCAGTCATGCTGATTGAACATGATAACTATTCAACTGTAACATGATGGCATGTCATAAAACGTCACTACTGGAAATGCCAACTTATCAAAAGATCGTTCATACCCTAAGAAAATACCGAGTTCTAAGTGCGAGAATATTACTTCAGCCCTTAAGGTGTTTCAAATCCATGCAACCAGAAAGCTACCTGTTGGGGTTCTTCAGTATTGGCCCCGATGGAACTGCCTGCAAATTGACCGTAAACTTCTGGTATGATTAATGTATATTATTTTCAGGGGGTGACATGTGGCTTTAGCGGGGCATCTCTAATGCTGCACCCTGTCCTCTGCAGTCTTGTTTAGTTGACTCCACGATTGCCCACAAGCTCTGATTTCCTCTACACACGATCTCCTTCATGTCATTCTCGAAAGCCCAACTGAACCGTGATGCCATTCAACAGTCTCCTCACTGTATTTCTAGTCCATCTCCATTTCTTTCGGCATGTTTGTTGGGTGATAGGTCGTTGTTTAGTTCGTTGTTGCTTATCCTCTCCGACCATGTTATCTTCAGTATATATATATATATATATATATATATATATATATATATATATTACCTATGCGGTTAACTGGTTATCAACGACATCATCGTTGTATGTGTTGTGAAAGCTGAGTTCTGTAATGCGGTTTGAATTGTTATGAAAATTTCCTATCGTTATTAAATAAAGGTGTCACGATGGATTATTTATTTGGTCGCTACAAAATGAATACCTCACAAATAAAAGTCTGTGTAAATTTAAAAACATTTATGACTACAAGTTTTTGGAATATCAACAATTGATGTATGACAACCAGGTCTTCGTGCTTCAAGTTAGTCGTTTCTCCTCGTACAACCTGGCTAATTATTATTGGAGCTTTCGATGAGACCTCTGATCGCAAAAGACATAATAAAAAAAGGTAGAATCTGCCGGAAATTTGAGAAGGGACTAATTGCATTTAACTATATAAAGTACTGAATGCTATGATTTCAGAAGTCTCACCATAATCAATCCGGAGATGATGAGCTAGAAATGCCGTTTAATTTAGAATGACATAGAGCAAATATTGTTTGTTCTCTTCTAGTGTATATAGCTAATGATAAGGGAGGCTGAACTCTGTTGGAGTTTGTTCGAATGTTCTATATTAGCATATACACTAATGGTAGAATATGAGTGAAAATATAAGCGATAAGTGGTAACTGGAGTGTAGTTTATTTACCGCTTTTACTACTAACAGACTAGTGATACTTTTACGTGAAGCCTTCTCAAACGCATACATGTCAAAAGCGTTACATCTTGTCATCAGCAGCAAGCGGAATAATTAAGGATACCTTCGCATAACTGACCAGTTAGTTGACAGGTGATCACGTTAGACACATGTCTGGAAACCTGTTCATCATTCAAATGTAAACGGAAAACTATCATCAAGTGTATTTTTATTTTTTTTTAGCAGTCACGAGACTGTCTGGAGTGAAACTTTTTCTGTAAGTCAGTCATAGGATACTGTTTTGGTCTGATAAAATAAGTCAAAATATGACACAACGCATATACAAAAAATTACGACATATTGTCATGAGTTTTTCTTTCGCAATAAAAAGTTGATTTGGTTTTTTGCGTTTGAAATTAGATTTGGCACTGTTTATTTTAATCTGTTGGAGGTTTTTTAGAGTCATGCTTTTTCTACTTGTAAACATCATTAGTATTGCTTAATTCTTAAGTAGTGAAACACACTTTGTATAAATGTAGCGTTGAATTGGATTCCGTGTCATTGTTGATCTCTTTTTTTCTAACTAATGTTAAACTTTGTTGGCATTAAAGGGGGTTCATATTCCTTGCAAATGTAAGCAAACGGAATAGCTTTGTTCGCTTAAGTAGCGTCTGTGTGTAGCATCAGACAGTTTGAGTATAACTGTTTATAAGGAATGCGCGACAAGACCATACCTTTCTAAATATACGCATTCTGAACTGTTTGAAAAGACACGTCATGAACATGGAACTCGGTCATTTGAGCTGTTGCTGTCTGTTGGGTTTTGCACTAAGGCTCACTTCATCGATTGACTTACACCCAGTACTTTTTTTTGATTATAGCTTGACTCCACACCGTATTTTTGGTACAAGTATGAAATTTTCAGCATGTGATATCGGTAGCCCAATTTTGCAGGCCGACCATTGATATCGGGTGTGCGTTGGCAGGGGATCGAACCCCGGACCATGTGCATGGTCGTCGAGATTCACTAACCACTACGCCTAACCTTAATACTGCTCACCATATAATACCAATACTGAATGCGAATACCTATGGTCAAAAACAGTGACTTCAAGTTTTCTACTTTCAACGGCCATAACCGGCGGCAGCTGTAAAGGGGGAGGTGGCGTACTGCTGAGCAATGCACATGTACTTCGATATTCAGCTGGTTATCACGTCTGCGCATGTCGGCAAATGCCAATTGGGCCTTTTGTATTCAAGCTGAGATTTCTTCAGTAATATGTTCATTAGGGCTGATTCAACTTCCCAAGTAAGTGAAGTGGTTGTCAATACACTCAGTGACTTCACTTCCTATCTTTAAACTTTGAACCCACTGTTGGTTATTTACACTTGCTACTGCAGTAACTTTTAAAACTGAAAGATAGTAAATTATTTATGCCTTCATTCAGAAGACAGAAGTACAGAGGCAAAGTTACTCTTTGGTTTCAATGCAGTCTCATTAACGTGATGTTTGCAGCTGAAAATATAGTTTTTATTGAGATACTGCTTCTAAGTAGCTAGAGTGATTACTGCTCTTTTAGCCTATTGACTCGAGTGCATACTGAGCCTCGGAATTGAGGTAATTCAGCAAACTTCTTGTAACCTAATTAATTAGTCCTATTTCAAACTTTTGGACTCAAAACGACGATTCATGATTGAGAAAGACGTACATGGATTTCATATCTATCCTGGGTAACTGGTTTGCTCTAATGAGGTGGTCCTTTATCATATTTACTATATAAAGTGACGGATGTGCACAGCGTAATGAAGTTGGACACTCACTGAAAGCCTCAGGTTAGTTCATAATTCTTCAATTGAAAATGACATCCGTTTTCAACCTATGATGCTTTCCACTAAATGAGTGAGTGTCTTAAATTTTCGTACATTACATTGTAGTTGCTTCTAGTTATAAGAAATAAGTCCTGACGCCTACTCTTTATGTAATCTATAGTCGATGTGGTTGTCTTGTGGAGTAGTAATAGCTTGTAATTTTGTGCATGTCATTTGCTCGAAATATTCTGCTTCAGGGTACTTCACACATATTAACTTCCCATTACATTTCAGTTGTCATTGTAGAGTAGGCGAATCGATGTGTTTCATGTTTCAGATTCCCTGCCATACATCGGGTAATAACATTTCCATCTAAGCACACGGTGACACATCGTCTGTTGGTTCCCTTTGGGTTAAGTGGTGCCTGTG